AAGGGCCTTGAAGGGTAAACACTGACTTTGGGATCAGGGACTAGGACATTACCTTGATTTGAGTAAAATCACTTTTAACATCGTCTGTTTATTAAATGCTATTAAGATGTGCAGCCTGCAGACTCAGACTTTTGCACTAAATAACTGACTTTTCTCCCACAAAATACAAAGCTTTGCACCATGTCCGCGCCCTGACACAGGAAACCCACGGCTTTCGTGGGGTGGGGGGCGGTGGGGGCGGGTATGTCCTTCATGAGAAATTAAGTGAAATTCCCAGGCAGAGTCCTGCCCTCCGTGTAACGTGCAGATTCCTGCTGGGAGCTCCCGGGCGCTTTCACGCAGCCCCCGTCCCAGTAAAGACCACGAGCGTTTCAGACACCGAGGGGCCCAGAGACCTCGCCAGTCCCTCCGCGGCGAGCACCCGGGGCCCAGGACAGAGACGCTGCAGTGCGGTCAGCGCTGACCCAGGTGGGTGACGCTGGCCTGTCAACACCAGCTCACAGGTTCGGAAGGAAAGCACAGGTTCTGCTGGGATCGAGAAGACGTGGTCTCAAATGCTAGATTTATTTTGAAAGACTCCCAAATGCTTTCTGATCATTAAATATTAACGACGCACATTCTCTGTGTCTCTCGTCCTGGCTACTGCGCTGACTGCGGTTTTCAAGTAGCTTTTTCAGATGAGATCTACATCTACAATCATGACAAGTGCTAATTATTGCCCCAAAATTTCATCTCATCCTCAACGAGAAGCCAACTGAGCACGGAATGAACACAGCACATCCTGTGCATGTTCCTGGGCTCCATTAACCATGACAGCCAATCCCTCCACGCACAGAAGGAATTACATAAATATAGAAAGATGAACAGGCAGGAGAGAGACGAGCTGCGGCCAGAGGTCCTGGAGCTGCGTCTCTGAGTCAGAAACACCCCTCGTTGGGTTTGGCCTTAAACGCGGAGCCTGGTGTGAAAGCTGCCCTGTTCTCACCACGATCCACAACACGTCCCAGCGCCGGGCGGGGCGGCTGCGGCCTGGCACGGACAGGACCGGCTCAGCTCCGCGGGCCTTGTACTCGGGGAAACCCCGGGTGAGCCGTTTGCTGGCAAGTGTGTTTTGAAAAGAAATGGGGCGTCAGTAAGTTGGCAGATGAAAGAGCAGGGCTCCCCGAGGCTGCCGGGCCCCCCCCCCCCGTGACCACAGCCAGCTCACCCGGGTCCCAGGGAGACGCACAGGGAACGCCCACAGGGGCTCCCCCAAGCCGGGTTGGACGCTCTGATCGCTAAACTGGTTTAAGGACAAAGAGAAGCTACAGATGTGGCCCAATAAAACCATAACACGATGCGCTTTGCTTCGTGTTGTAAACAGGCGTTAGTAAATGCTACAGGCCTTCCAGCCGCCTCTTCATACAGTGTGGTTTGTCTGATCGCTGTTTAAACTTCTGCAATGCTTTCTTTTTAAAAAAATATTTTTATTGATCAAAGAGGAAGGGAGAGGGAGAGAAACATAAATGATGAGAAAATCACTGATAAGCTGCCTCCTGCACGCCCCACACTGGGGATCGAGCCCTCAACCCGGGCCTGTGCCCTGACCAGGAATCGAACTGTGACCTCCTGGTTCCTAGGTCGATGCTCAACCACTGAGCCACACCGGCTGGGCTGAACATTTATTTTAATCGCGTCTTTTGGGACGTGTTTATTTCCCTTAAAAAGGAAACAACAAACATGAATAGTGCAACACCCTCCCCCACAGATCTCCACGCAGACTGTTTCTGAGCGAGGGACGGGGTGGGCAGCATGGAGCTGAGGGGCGGTGGGCGAGAACTGCTCTCAGGCAGTGCACGGCATCGGGCCGCCGTGGAAAGCAAAACCCAGCCGCACCCTCGGAGCAGGAGCTGAGGGTTCGGCACGGACACCCGGCCCCGCGCCGAGTTTGGAACAAATGCAAACAAAACTGATTTAGAAGCTTCGACACACAAGAACGCAAACTCTAGAAACTCGCGATCATCACTACGTTCTCCCCAAGAAGCCGAACTACCTCAGGCAGAGCGGACGCAGCGCATGTGCTTTAGTTGATTTTCGTTCATTCTCAACGTTTTGTAAGAATTTTTCGTTTTTCTAGACGACCACACATTCAAAGAGCAGGCTGCGACTCATCGTGTTCTACAGAAATAGAGAGTTGCTTAACAATGTGTACCAAGTGCTTTTTATTTTCTATAAACATTTTAACAGGAGCTAACATTGAATGCCCAATAGAATCGTTGAAATTAATCCATGTTGTCAAAATACTTCATAATGTAAAATTCTAGCAAGAAAGTCCGTCACTTCGGCAATGAAGCGCCCATTTAGTCACTGTCATGCTCTGTCTTTATAGCTTCGGGGGTGGCGACCGTCGCCGCACAGCAAGGCCTGAAGCGGAGCAGTGAGCAGCGTCCCCTCCCTCCGGGCCTCCTGCCCGCAGACACGCACAGCATCCGCGTCATCGATGTGACTCCGGGCGCTGTCACAGGCGGCATCAGTAACCGCTGCCGCGAGGGGATCCCAGACGGTAGGGTAGTTCGAAGCCCTTAGTCCTAACTGCGCCGGCCCTGGCGCTGCCCCGGGAGCGAACGGGGTTTTCAGCCGGTGGAGACTGCGCTTCGTGCGCCCGCGGGGTGACAACCTGCGTCCGGAAACTACAGGGATATTCAGAGTCAAAAATATGTATTTCAAGTTTTAGTTCTTTCTAAAGGAACTCATTTCCAACCTAGTTCTCTCATATAAGTGTTTTCCTTTAAAAAAAAAAAAAAAGCCAGTTTCCTCGCCAAAGAGCAAGAACAAGAGAAACCGCTGCTTCGCTCCCCCGTGCTTGGTGCCTGTGACTTAGTGACACGTATTCCTGTCACAGGAGCAGCTTTAAAGACAAGCACCTGGAGTTCACCTTCCTTTACGTCTTTCAAAACTAAGCCAGACAACCTCATGTTATCATGTGGTTATGACTGAGATTTCAATTACCTTCTCCAAACGTTCTCACACTTGAGCCCAGCCCAGCCCAGCCCAGCCCAACCCCAAGTCTCCCCCTCTCCAGCCGCCTCCCTCGGCCACAGACACATGAAAAGGAGGCCGACGGAGGAAGGGACTGGAGCTTTGGGTTTGGGTTCAATTAAATGCGAGTATTCGCCGCCGTGACGTCGAGTTTCTGCTGCTCTCGGGTAGGAACACGCGTGACAGGCAAGTCCTGGAGGAGAACCCGGAAAGGCCACGAGAGGGGACGTCGTCCTTCCATGTCTGGGCTGCCAGAACCAAAGCAAACTCATCCTGAGACAAACACAGCAGGAAGCCACGCCCAGCCCTGGCCAGGCCTCGCCCCGGCTTGGTCAGGAGGGAGCGGGGAGGGAGCCTCTGGGCCCCCTGCCCTCAGGAGAGGGGCGTCCAGGGCCCGCCAATGCTCACGAGCGAGCGTGGCGTCCGCTCCGAGGCTGCATACGGACTTTTTCGTCACGTCGGTCATGTCAGAATGAGGCCCGCTTTGGCGCGGGACAGACACGTCACCTCGGGCGTCGGTACTGCTGCTCTTGGGCTCTGAACGCTGGGCTCATGTGCCAATAAAAATAGTCTGGTTTTCACAGAGACACACAAGGGAAGCCGAGAGACAGCAGGGCGGGAGCTGCTTCTCGGGGTGCCTCCCGCGGGTTTCGGGGCGCCTGGCCGAGCATCTGGGAGGAGGCATTCACCGCTCAAGGAGCTCGGTAAGGCCTGCCTTACACCCACTGCGCAACGGAAAAGGCAGTGATTTGATAAAATGCTAAAAATAGAAATGAAGTGACGTCCGAGGAGCCTACACATGCAGAAGGGACTTCCCACGCCTGAACTCACCCACGGCCCAAAGGAGTAGATGGCTCCATTGTGAGTCAGTGTCGCATCTAAGAGGAAGCACGAGGAACAGCCTCCGAAAGGGGACACTCGGCCGCTCAGGAACCGGCCCGCGCAGCCGCAGCGGGCAGG